AAAATAATAATAAAAAAAAATAAATAAATACCACCTTCATTATGGCATTCCTCTACTCACAGACCTCCCTAGATACACTATACCACCAACACAGAAACTGGCAACTTTTCTTAACTAATCTTTGAATTTCATTTTTAAAAGATCTTATTTATTTGAGCAAGAGAGAGAATGACAGAAAGTACGAGTGCGGGGAGGGACAGAGGGAGAAGCAGACTCCTCCACCAAGCAGGGAGCCTGATACAGGACTTGATCCCAGGCCCCTGGGATCATGACTAGAGTCAAAGACAATGCTTAACCAACTAAGCCACCCAGGCGCCCTTATATCTTCCAATTTCATAAAAGAATCTAAAATGTTTATCCCAGATGAACAAAAAAATAAATTGTCCAAAAAATTTAGAAATCACAAAGATATCAACTAAAGTCACTTTTACTTGACTCATAGGAGCACTTTTTTTTTTTTTCCAAGATTTTATTTATTTATTTGACAGAGAGAGAGAGAACACAAGTAGGCAAAGAGGTAGGTGGGTGGGTGCGGGAAGCAGGCTCCCTGGTGAGCAGAGAGCCCGACAACGCAGGGCTCAATCCCAGGACCCTGAGATCAGAATCTGAGCCGAAGGCAGAGGCTTAACCCACTGAGCTACCCAGGCGCCCCTCATAGGAGCACTTTAAGGAGGCTTGTCTCCATATACCAAGAGAAAGCCAAGTGGTAAAAGTGAAATTTCTACTGGTATTTCCAGGTGCTACAGTCTGAATGCTTGTGTTCCCCCACATTTCATATTTTGAAATCTTAACCCCTAAGAAGACAGTATTGGGAAGTGAGGCCTTTGGGAGGTGAATAGGTCATGAGAGCAGAACTGTATGAATGGGATTAATGCCCTGATGAGAGACCCACCTTTCTGCCATGTGAGGTGACAGCAAAAAGAAAATTGTTTATGAACTAGGAAGCAGCCCTCACCAGACAGTGAATCTGCCAGACCCTTGATCTTGGACTTCCCAGCCTCTGGAACTGTGAGGAATAAATCTCTGTTGTTTGTAAGTTACCCAGTTTATGATATTTTGTTATTGTAACCTGAACAGACTAAGATACTAACACACTGTTTCATTCCATAAGCATGGAAAACACATTGAAGGGAATTGTGTCCTATGAGAGGTGAATCTATAAAAAAGCTGGGCATCAAGTCATAAACCTACCACAGAAAAACAAAATAAAACAGGAAACCCAGCAGAGCACTTTCCTTTTGTATGCCCAGGGGATTGGTGACTTATTCTTTGTGCAAAGTACTGCACATCTTAGAAGCAAATAGTTTAAATAAGGTAGTAATATATTTAAGAGCACCTTTTGAAAGTTACAATCCCTGAGGAAGACAAAAGAATCTTTTCATTGCAAAAAAGAATTCAAACACATCTGTTATAGCAAAGGAGCAAAATGAATCGTGGTGTGGGTAGGATGCTGAATTCACAAGAAGCAGCATTTTCTTCAAGCCTGATCCTGGATAAGTAATTTTTATTTTTATTTTTTTTTATTTATTTATTTTTGACAGACAGAGATCACAGGCAGAGAGGCAGGCAGAGAGAGAGGGGGAAGCAGGCTCCCTGCTGAGCGGAAAGCCTGATGTGGGGCTCGATCCAAGGGCCCTCAGATCATGACCTGAGCTGGATAAGTAATTTTTAAAGTAGAATGCCTTTTTCTTACCACTTGGAATAGTTCTTGGATGAGTTATAAAGTGTTTGTGAGAACTACGCTAGACCAATGGTCATTTCCTATAAACAGAAACAAAATTTCAGCTAACCAAGAATAGTGTGACAAACATTATTTTGACTCTTCCGCTGAGGCTGTAGTTTGAAACCCATAAAAACAGGAAGATACTGAAATCAATCTACCATGATCTGACCATACTCGTGAAATCACAACAAGCCCTAAAAGACATATGCTCTGAAGCACATCACAAGTGACACACTTGCATCGTACTGTATTGTGTATTTTGTCTTCCATTTCAAAAGGCAAAGGACCCATATTTCTAAAAAAAAATCTCAGAAATACACTAATATTAGTTGTACTTAGGGCTAGTACGAATGCAGTAGGAAAAACTATGGCAAAAGCAGATAATTGCACTGACTCAACCAAACTATTATTTTCTGTTTCAGGAAAGAGGCTTTTAAGACAGAAACAGTTTTAAGTTAAACCAACCTACTTTTAGGAGACTGTCCCTTGTAAATTATACCTATTTATACAAATAATTTTACTCCAAAAAATACTTACTGAGGAAATATATATTTAGCGGGGACTTAACATCTTTTTAGCAGTGCCATGGTCTTCGAGAAGAACACGGAAGAAATTTAAGCTACATTCTCTGCTCGGCTTCACCCTGTTAATTTTAGAATTCTAGAAATAATACTAGAGGTTGTTTAAAAAGGAAAATGTTTTCTTTCCTCGATGAAACATATTTGCAGACATGAATCTTAAACAAAGGTAAAATCCTGGATACTCTATTTTTTATTTACCTGGATGGAAGTGGCCATCTCTGTGTCTAGATAGCTCCTACCACCCTAAAATAACCGAATTTTTTTTCCTTCATTAAATAACTGGCTCATTAAATTTGCATCTAGAAAAGGACAGTTTAATTGTCCACTGTCACGTCACTGATATTTATTAACTAGGACTACATCTGACAGAAATACATGTCCTATGTGCACCAAGAGAGAGCAGTCATAGCAGCATTATCTGCAGAAGGTCCAAAGTGCAGACAACCCAGACAGCCAACACAACACAATACTACAAAGCAATGAAAATGACCACACTGCAGCTACATTCAACCACAGGGATAATAAACGGAAGAAGCAAGACTAAAAAATATATCAAGTATGACTGTATTTATAAAAAGTTGCTAAACATGCAACACTGAACTATTTAGATGTATCTGGTGTATACAGCTGCACACTCAAGTGGTAAAACTATACAGGAAATGATTACCGAAAAATGGAAAGCTAAAGCTTCCTCAGAGAAGAGAGGATAAGTGTGGGGAGTAGGTTGTGACTGCCAAGGGACCCACAAGGCTTTTGTCATGTTGGTCAAATTCTTCCACATTGCAGTTTTTTCACCTATGGGTGGCAGTTACAAGGGACGTTTATTCTCACAACCCTTTGCAAATTGTAGATGTCATGTTACCACTTCTTAAAATAAGAGTATTATGCACCACAGTAAAATAGTTCTAAAAACCCAGGGGTTACCACGTTAAATATTAATTACACATGTATGTGTGTATAATATACACACTAAAACCTACTGGTTTCAAGGGGGAAAAAAGCACAGTGATTCTATCCTGTACTTCTCTTGTTCTTGTCCTCTTCTGCTGAGCAAATAACAAAAGAGCGAAGGAACTTAGAAAATGAAAGAGATAGGGTTTAGAGGTACATAAAGAATACTATGCCCTTTCATTAATGTTATTTGAGAATGTAAAAGATTTATGCGCCTTTTGGCTGATGGTGGAATTGCATGTATATTCTTAGTCTCTCCTTTGTCTATTGATATAACCTGCCGATACAACTATGCAAAAGTAGCACCTGAGGAAAAATGAGCATCATTCTGTCCTTATAGTTGTGACACAGAAGCAGCTGTCCTTTGATTCACACCTAATGGCCTGCTCCTAAGTTTCCTGCTTCCACCAGTAATATTGATTCTAATCTTTAGAAAGTCTGCTTCTTTGAAATACAACAACAAAAAACCCGCACCGAACTAATTCAGCCATGTCTGCCTGTAAGTTATTTGACCTGTGTTTGGCCCAAATCAACCTATTTTTTCCTCCACTCTGCTAAATTAGTTGGGTAATAGATTATTATGTTACCTTTTCATCTAGCCTGCGGGGGGAAAAAATGTGAATCTAAATACTGGTGATACAATGATATCCCCAAAGTTTCCTTCAGCAATGATTGCAATACAAGTCTTGGTTAACAGACTGACATTTTCAAACTCTGATATATCACACAAGAAAGAAAATGGTTGACCAACTGCTCACCTCTATGCTCCAGAATGGATTTCCTAAAGGGCACACAGAAAAATCGATAGGACAACTTTATTCTCCTGCCTGTGACCAGGATACATTCTATAGTTCTTGGGTAGGTCAAAATCAGTTTTACATTTAAGAATACCTGAATCTGATCTGGGCTCTTAGAAGTTAACCGTCATTTTTTCCAAGTCAATCCCACCAAGTAATGTTGTGGTTGGTATAAACAATGCTGAGGGCTATACGGGTCACTCTTGATCTCTACCAAAGGTTTATCTTCAAGCAAATTGTGATCCAAAGCTTGGCAAAATAACCAACAACACTGCTTAAGTCACATGTGGCCAACAGTCTGCCTATTTAATCTAACAATCAGAATTAATGCCTTAAAGGCAAAAGAATTATTTGTCTATCTCCTGGCAAAGACAAACACTGAAGGAAAGTGGGAAACTCTTTTTAGGCTGGTGCATTACTTTCTCCTGGGTTAATACTTCCTCTCACATGAGGAATAAATCCTGCAAGTAGGAAAGGAAAAAGAGCTATAAAGCAATCTTACAATGAAGTTGCATTATTCTACCTAAGCAGTAACTACATTATAGTCCATTATATTGCTCAAAAATAGTATGGGTCAAAGGGTATTTCCCAAATATAACTAAATACTATAAGATCATGATACAACAGAGTTATAAACCATAACTCCTGTTCCCCAACATCACGTTCTATTTGGAGTGACACTGAATTAGAGTCAGTTCCCCAAAACATCACTCATTTTCAAATATAAATTCTAAGACTTATTTCAAAACCAAATCTCATTATGTTGGGATTCATTACCCCTTGGCTTATATAATACCATGGTTGTCCTCACTTAAAATGAAATAAAAACTGACAGTACAGAATATACCTCTTCCTATGGAGCAGAAGAAAACACGCTCTAGGACAAAATGTAAACATCACACATCAAGAAAGCATCTTAACAGAGGAGGGATAAAAATATAACCTTACATTTGTGAGTAACTGGAATTCAAATTCTGGCCTTCTGATTTCATGGCTGGTGTGCTTTCAATACAACCCAGGTGTCCTTAGCTTCCTTGATAATGATTTATCCAAAATCTTCCTATGGAAAAAAAAGTGATTTTAGAAAGTAACTGCAACAGTTCAGTCTTTTGCTTTTAATGACAAACGTGTCCTCATTTATTTTTACCACCTCTCCCAAATGATTCCTTATAGAATAAAATCTGAGAGGGCGCCTGGGTGGCTCAGTCGGTTAAGTATCTGATTCCTGATTTCCGCTCAGGTCATGATATCAGGATGCGAGATCATGTGAGATTGGGGCTTGTGAGATCGAGCCCTGAACTGGGCTCCGTACTGGGTCCCTCTGTCCCTTCCCCACCTCTCTCTCTCTCTTTCCTGCTGTCTAAAAAAATAAAAGTAAAAGCGGAGGGGAAAAACCATGCATTTTCTTTTTTTGTTGTTGTTTGTTTTTGTTTTAAGATTTATTTATTTATTTATTTGACAGAGAGAGATCATAAGTAGGCAGAGGGGCAGGCAGAGAGACAGAGAGGAGGAAGCAGGCTCCCTGCCGAGCAGAGAGCCCGATGCGGGACTCGATCCCAGGACCCCGAGATCATGACCTGAGCCAAAGGCAGAGGCTTAAGCCACTGAGCCACCCAGGTGCCCCAAACCATACATTTTCAAAGCAAACTTTTTCTCTGAAGATTTCTCCCTAGCATATGAGGAATTAGAAAATCACAGCCATATGCCTTCTCTTCCCACTGCTCAGCAGCAGTGACCAAGCAGAAAGATAACCAAAGCAAGAATAGGATTTAGAGACTCCAAATAATATTACAGACAATTTTAATTGAACACTAGATCAGAAATTAAGTATAAATGCTTTCTAAATCAAATATGGTTTAAAATTAATTAAATACTTAAGGCAAGAAGCTTACTTGTTAATTCATTAAAGTCAAGATCACACTTATTCAGATAATTTCAACCATCTAGCAGCTTCAACTGCAATTTTATTTTCTTTAATTAATCTCTCTCAAGATACATATAGACATATAGCACAATCATAATTTTATTGGGTTATAATATCACTTTAAAATTTTATAAGGCAGTGTGGTGATTTTTGTACGATTGCGGGATTCTGAGTTTTGATAAAGGATGTCAGTTCACGAATTACAGTTGTTGCTGTATTTAAATTAAGCTTCCCTCAGTTTTTGGACAGCCAGTGATTGCTTATATAAATAAGTAATGTGCTGTGTATACACCGAAAATAAAATTTTAAATGGTTATCTTTGGGCCAAACTGGGTCTCTTAAAGCAAAAATAGACAATTCTCAATCAACGCATACCAACACTGCATTAGACATTTTTAAAGTTGACTAACTCAGAGAAGGAATTCTAAAACAATTACCCAAAGCATGCAAAAATGTCACCCACGTAGACTAGTTTTATTAAACTAACTGCATAAGAAGCTCTGTGTCTGAAAATGGAATAGAGAAATCTGACATACAATACTCATGTTATCAGGAAAATATTAAAACATATCAAAAATAACTTAAAAAGTTGCAATCAACTATTTCATATCTGTGGTTTCTGATTAGTTGAATGTTGCTTTTCAGTGATTGACCTTCCTCATTCAACATCCTTGCTTAGGTTCAAAGTTGTCAAAACTGACAGAGAACTTGGTTGGACAGCATAGAATCCCCCACCAACGGCTAGGAGAGGAGTCTAGGGAGAAGGAGACACAGCAGTTTTCTCTTGCAATTATGAAGTAATAGACTTGTCTAGATCAGTGATTTCCAAGGTTGTCTGCACATTGGAGTCGCCTGGGGAGTCATAACACTATTGATGCCTGTATCCCATCACTAAAAAGTATGATTTAATTGATCTAGGTGTGGCATGAGCTTTGGAAATTTAAAAGATCTCTAGATGATTCTAACATGTAGACAAACTTGGAAAGATAAAATGGCCTATGTTCTTTCATATTCCTATCTTAAAAATTTTTGATGAATTAGGTTCATGTCTTTTTTAGCACCATTCCTTTATCAGTCTCATGCCATTTGGGGAGAATGACCAAAGCACAGCTTGTTCTGGAATACTCTCAAAAGGAGAATAAAAGGAAGAATAAGAGGATGAATAAGCTAACTTTCATAAAATGCTTTTTCATGACAATAATTACTAGGGTATGGCTTTTTTTTTTTTTTAATCCAACGCCTAGAAACTTTGTTCACTATCCTAAAGCCAGACAGAAGAATTAGAGAACACTGTCTACAATAATCTGGGGTTTAAGTTCATCTGGATTTGTATGATCTAGTCTAGCTTTCCACTTTATCAGATGGGGCACAGGCAGCTGCTAGAACAAGGAAGAGGAATAAGGAATCGGGTCTTACACATGAATAAACCTGTGGAGATACTAAGTTCATTAATGTTCTTGTTGGCAGGAATCAGAATGGCTTAAGAGGCAGCCAAGTTGAATTACAGGTTTGATTTACCTAAGAGATACATGTTCTGCGGACATAAGCATTTTTTTTTTTTTTTAAAATTTTGCACCAGCCTCAAGGCAGGCTTGAGATGAAACAAAGTGCAGCCCTTCCTTTCACAGTTAAGATTCAGTTGTGTTTCCCTGTGGTTTCTCTGTGGGGGTATTTGAGCTGTCTAGATGAGAGAAGAAAGAAAACAGTTTTAAAAGTTCAAAAGTGTCAGTTTATCACTAGCAAATAATGGGCACAACTAAATATCTTTACTCCTCAAAAAAAAAAAAAAATGCCCACAACACATGAAATACGTGAGTAGACTGAAACAGGAAAGCACATATCACAATGTCAGGAATTCAAAATAACAGCATGTAACTTCATTCTGATACAGGGGTTAGCATGCTTTAGGGAGGTTGAGGTACTGCTCCATTGCTATTAAAATAAATGACCAATATGGTCAACTAATATTTGACAAGGAGCCAAGAATACTCAATAGAGAAAAAGACAGTCTTTTCAAGAAATGGTGCTGGGAAAATTGGATGTTCAGATGTAAAAGAATGAAACTGGACCACTATCATATACCACTCACAAAAATTAACTCAAAATGAATCAAAGACATAAATGTGAGACCCGGAGCAGGGGTGACTAGGAATTAGTTGAAACTCCTAGAAGTAAACACAGGAGTAAAGCATCTTGACATTGGTTTTGATAATTAATTTTTGAATATGACACCTAAAGCACAAGCAACAAAATAAAAAATAAACAAGAGGGACTACCTCAAATCAAAAAGCTTCTGAAAGGGCAAAGAAACTTTTAATAAAGTGAAGAGACAACCTATGGAATTGGAAAAAATATTTGCAAACCATCTATTTGATGATGGGTTAATACCCAAAATATAAAAAAATCCTCAAACAACTCAATAGCAAGAAAATCCAATAATCTAATTAAAACATGGGTGAAGGACCTGAACAGGCATTTCTTTCCTTTTAAATGATTTTATTTATTCATTTGAGACAGAGAGAAAGAGATAAGCAGGGGGGAGAGACAGAGGGAGAGGGAGAAGCAGACTCTCCAATGAGCTGGGAGTCCAACATGGGACTTGATCCTAGCACCCAGAGATCACGACCTGAACTGAAGGCAGATCCGAGCCATACACTAAGTGAAATAAGTCAGTCAGAGAAAGACAAATACTGTATGATCTCAACTTGTAGGTGCAATCTAAAAAGAAAAAAAAATGGAAAAAGAGATCAGACTTGTGTTTACTAGATGCAGTGGGTGGGGGAGGGTAAGTGGAGGGAGGAGGTCAAAAGGTACAAACTTCCAGTTATAAGTGAGTACAAGGGATGTAATGTACAACATGATGACTGTAGCTAGTACTGCAGTATGAAAAATAAAAAAGTTGTTGAGAGCAAATCCTGTGAGTTCACATCAGGAGAGAATTTTTAACTTCTTTCTTTTCTTTTTATTATATCTATAGAAGATGGATGTTACCTGAACCTATTGTGGTAATCATTTCACAAAATATGTAAATCTAGCCATCCTGCTCTAAGCCTTGAACTTACACTGTGATATATGTCAATCATTTCTCAGTAAACTGGAAAAAATGATCAGATCATTATAAGGATATGGGGATGTCACCATCCAAACCCTTTCCACTTCAGGACATAATACAATCTGTTGTCAGTTCAAAACTGTAATTGGGCAAACCAAGACATTCCTAACCTCAGTGGGAAGAGGGGCAAAGGAACCTAAGGAGAGGAGTGTGCTGTGAGTAAACTGTAGGTCGTGGACACAAACGGTGAAAAGTAGCTTATACAGAACAATTTTAAAGATTTCTTTGGTTTAGTGAAATAGAAAATTTTCTGTAAGTCCATATAGCTATTCTCAAGATCATTCTTGTCTTAGGGAGGGCTGACTGTACCAAAACACATGGAGACAGGACAGAATCTATGTTCTTGATTATTTCCAAATATGTAAAATCCCAAGATGTGCTCTTTTGGCAAGTAACATGGCAATTTTTTTTTCTTTTTTCTTTTTTTAAATTTCTATTTCTTTTCAGTGTTGGCAATTTGGTTTTCATTTCTAGTGCCAACTGCAACCAGTTGTTTCTTTTGAAGCTTTAAACTTAGGTCCAACACCGAACTGTTCATTTCCTTCTGTCTTCTGCTTTTGCTTCCCCCATATCTGTTGCCAAAGTTAGGCTACCACCCACACAACTGCCAACCCAGAACCCAGGAGTCCTCACGAGCTCCTCCCTTTGCATTTCAGTGCATGCTTCCCAGTCTTACACATTACGTATCCTAGTTAGCAAATTAATCCTCCCCTCTCCTCTTCACCCCTTCCGCCACCACTACAGGTCATGTCATCATCCTAACTGGTTTCCATAACCCTAATTTCGTGTTCTGTCAACACTCCCACTACCCTTCTGGATATATTACTCAATATATAATATATATTACTCAATATTACTCAATATATCCCACTACCCTTCTGGCCCTATTACTCAAATATGAACATACCACCACCCTGCTTATTCTTTTTTTTTTTTTTAATTTTTAAAATGATTTTATTTATTTATTTGAGAGAGAGAGAGAGAGAGAGAGAGCGAGAGCATGAGAGGAGAGAAATCAGTGGGA